AAATCTTTAAAAAATAAAGCTTAACTACCTTGGTAGAAAAATATGAAATATTCAAGATTATACAGGAATCCAGTGTTTTGTAGGAATACTCCCTTTGTTATGCCAAGCAGCATGCAGTGTGGGTAGAGGTCAAAGATAAACAGACAGTGTGATGGAGGATGAGGTCACTGTGAGAGTTCTGTTACAGTGTAAGATGAGAAGGTTCTTATCAACTCAGTATTTTTGGTTTAATCACTTGACCTTAAATTAGAAAACACAGAGAATTAGTCATGCTTTCTCAGCGTCTTATAGTACTTTGACCATGCACTAGGCAATTTAACATCTTACTATAACTGGTCTTATATTTTCAGTTACCCTTGTGGATAAGGGCCAATTTGATAGTAAAATACATGTGACACAACACTTACTGTAGTACTGAGCATTTATTCACAGCTATATGATTTCAGAAAGCACTGAAGGCCACAGAACTGAGCACAGAGGGGCTACAAAATTCAAATACTTGACTTACAAGTAAAAATATGTATGCAACAGTTTAAGGTCCACATCTGTCTTTATATGAAGTGGATTTTGTTTTACTGAACTTTGTGAGGAAATGTTTTTGACATAAAAGAGGTGGTAGGGGCCCAGCATTTTGGCGTAGCGGATAAAGCCACTGCCTGTGACAGCAGCATCCCACATGGGTGCTGGTTCCTATTCTGGCTGCTCCACTTCTGATCCAGCTCTTCTAATGGCTTGAGAAAAGCAGTAGAAAATGGCCCAAGTGTTTGCCCCCCGTGCATACACATGGGGGACTCAGATATAGCTCTTGGCTCCAGGTTTTGGCCTAGCCACATGAGCTTTTGCAGAGATATGGGCAGTGAACCTGCATATGGAAGATTTCTGTCTCTCCCTCACACTTTGTAATTCAGACTTTCAAAACGAATCAATAAATCTTTAAAAAACAAGAGAGGGGCCAGCATTGTGGCGTAGTAGGTAAAGCCACCGCTTGAGGCACCAGCAACCTATGTGAGTGCCAGCTTGTGTCCTGGCTAATCCACTTCAGATCCAGCTCCCTGCCAATGTGACTGGGAATGCAGAGAGGATTGCCCCTGCATCCAGACAGGAGTCCTGGATGAAGCTCCTGGCTCCTTGCTTTGGACTGGCCCAGCTCCCGCCATTGTGGCTATTTGAGGAATGAACCAGCAGATGAGGATTTCTCTCTCTGTCTGTGTCTTCCTCTCTCTCTAACTTTGGTTTTCAAATAAAATAAATCTTTACAAAAAAGATAGAGGTGGGAAAAATCCAGTATGGGCAAACTTTGGGAGCTGGATGAAGTAAACTATTAGAATGGACAATGAATTCAGATTTTGAAATGATGTAAATATTTATAATGCTTGACAGGATATAAAATATTTTTATTTTATTTTATTTTTTAGACAGGAAGAGTTAGACAGTGAGAGAGAGAGAGAGAGAGAGAGAGAGAGTCTTCCTTTTTCTGTTGGTTCACCCCCCCAAGAGGCTGTTACGGCTGGTGTGTTGCATCCTGCATGTTGCGCCGATCCGAAGCCAGGAGCCAGGTGCTTCCTCCTGGTCTCCCATGTGGGTGCAGGGCCCAAGGACTTGGGCCATCCTCCACTGCACTCCCGGGCCATAGCAGAGAGCTGGCCTGGAAGAGGAGCAACCGGGACTAGAACCCGGTGTGCCGGTGCCACAGGCAGAGGATTAGCCTAATGAGCCAGGGCTCCGGCCAAGAAATAAAATATTTTAATTTAGTAGGATAGCTGGAAGAAATGACAGAGAATTGGAAATCTTGCTTTAGTGTCCCAAAGTTCCTTCCCTTAATTTTTTTTATTGAGATGAAATTCACATAATTTAAAATTAACCATTTAAAAGTACAATTTGGTGGCATTTAGGCATTTTCATTATCCCAAAAGAGAACCTCATAGCTGATAACAATCACTTCCAATTCTTTTTCTCCTGTCTCTGGAAAACATTAGGTTCTTTTTATCTCAATGAGTTGGTTTATTTTGGACATTTCACATAAATGAAATAATACAAAATGTGACCTTTTGTCTGACTTCTTTGATTTAGCATGTTTTGGAGGTTGATTCACATTGTACTTATTCCTTTTTACAGAAAAATCTAACCTGTGTATGTGCAGTATGTATGCCACATTTTGTTTATTTTTTCATGAGCTGATGCACATTTGGGCCCTTTCTGTTCTCTTGGCTATATACACACGAGTGAAACTGCTGGGTAATATGGTAATTCCATAGTAAATTATTTGAGAAATTGTTAGTTTTTCACACTGGTCAGGTTAAAATTTTACCAGCAATGCATGAAAGTCATAATTTCTCCACATTCTCAGTGCCATGGTTTGTATATAGTTCAAGAATGTACTCCCACAGCTTCATGGATTGGTTTAATACTTATTGAGGTGTACTCATTGTGAGGTGTTAAGAGGTGGAGCCTTTGGGCTGTGATTATGATTAGATAAAGTCATCAAAGTGGAACCCTGGTGGCTATATAAAAAGAGAGATATCAGAGGATATATTCAAAAGGATGCACTGCTTCTCTCTTACTATGTGATGTCCTGAATCCACCTCCTTGGGACTATGCCAGCAGAAAAGCCATCTTCAGATGTGAGCTATTGACCTTGGACCAAAGCTTCGAAACAAAGCAAACTTTTCTTCGTAAGTTAGTCCACTTCATGTATTTCATTATAGAGGTTTAACATCATTGCTTTGCACATGCATATCCAGCTGCAGCATTTGTTGGAGACAATTTTACCTCCATTGGATGACCTTGGTATACTTGCTGAAAATCAATAGATGGCCACAGATCTATAGGTTCAGTTCTCAACACTACAATATATAAAATGATTTACACCCTTTTGCCACACTGCTTAGAACACTGCACCTGTTGAGATCAGTACAGCTCTATAGCCTTAAAATTGGGAAGTGCTGGCTGGCGCCATGGCTCACTTGGCTAATCCTCAGCCTTGTGGCGCGGGCACATGGGGTTCTAGTCCCGGTCGGGGCACCGGATTCTGTCCCGGTTGCTCCTTTTCCAGTCCAGCTCTCTGCTGTGGCCCGGGAGTGCAGTGGAGGATGGCCCAGGTCCTTGGGCCCTTCACCCGCATGGGAGACCAGGAGGAAGCACCTGGCTCCTGGCTTCGGATCCGCATGGTGCGCTGGCAGCAGCACGCCAGCCACAGCGGCCATTGGGGGGTGAACCAACAGAAAAGGAAGACCTTTCTCTCTCTCACTGTCCGCTCTGCCTGTCAAAAAATAAATAAATAAAATAAAAAAATAAAAAAAAATTGGGAAGTGCTGAGTCCTCCAACTTTGTTTTCTCAATATTGTTTTGGCATTTCAGGGCCTTTGCAATTCTATACAAGTTTGATGATCAGCTTTCCAATTTTTTATAAAACATCAAAATGGGCCATTTGAGTTAAATTTTTTTGAAAACTTATTTCACTTATTTAAAAGGCAGGGACACAGAGAACTTCCAGGCAATGATTCACTCTCCGAATGTCCCAAACAGCTAGGACTTGGCCAAACCAAATCCAGGAGTCAAGAAACCGTCTATGTGAGATGTGAGTATTTGGACTACTACCTGCTGACTTCCGGACCATATTAGCATAAGGCTGGAGTAGACAGCAGATTTGGGACTTGAACCCAGGCCCTCTGCTATGGATGTGGGCACCCCAAGTGTCTTAGCCACTCTACCAAACATTGACCCTTTGTTGGTATTTTGATAGTGCTTACAGTGAATAAGTAGATTGCTTTGGGTAGTATTGTCATTTTGTCATTTTCTAGTATGTGAACATAGGAGATCTTTCCTTTTAGTGCAATAACATTTTGTAGTTTTCACTGTGAAAATTTTTCTTGTACTTGGTTAAATTTGCCACGGGTGTTTTTTTTTTTTCTTTTGGCTGCTATTATAGATGGAATTGTTTTCAGTGTATAAAATCTTTCACATACATATTCATGAAGCTCAGCCCCTAGTTATTCTTTAAATGATTGGTAGAATTCATCAGTGAAATGATCCAGTCTTGGACTTTTCTTTTTGGAGGTTTTTTTTTTTTTTCTTTGAGTAAACTATTTTATAGAGAATAAACCAGCCTCTCTTACTCTCAATATCCTACACCAAAATGTACTTTTGTTGTAATTCATCTATTCGCATTGATGCAATTCACGTTAGGATTCATAGTTCACATTAGGATTCATTCGTGGTGTTGGGAGGTTGATTATTGACTTAATCTTTTCACTTATTATAGGTCTACACAGATTTTTAATTTCTTATTGTGTCAGCTTTAGTAATTTGTCTTTCTAGGGATTTGTCCATTCGTGTAGGTATACTAGTATTTCTTTTTTATTCAAAGTTGATAATAATGACTTTCATTATCATTTCTGATTTAAACTACTTGTGTTTTCTTTTCTTTGTCAGTCTGGTTTAATTTAGTGGATCTTTTTCAAAAAATCAACTTCTGATTTCATTAATTCCCTCCAATGCTTTTTTAATCTCTATTTTACCTCTATCTACTCTTCATTTCCTTCCTTCTGCTAGCATTGATATAATTGGCACTCCTAAACCCACAGTTATGAATGTGCAATTAGTTTGTAGTTACAAGAGTATAAAATTTGTCCTCCGTATTAGGGGGTTCGGCATGTATGGACTCAATCAACTATGGGTCAAAGTCATTTGGAAAAATTTATCTGTCCAAACATGTCTAAACTTTTTTTGTCATTATTCCTTCCAAGGATGGGGGTCATCTGGTTGTAAATGCTTGGGAAATCATTTGGTCTGGCCCTTCCAAGGCAACCGCAGGAACAAGGACTCAAAATTCATTCAGTCTAATTCAGTCTACAGCAGGCTAATTTCCAAACTGATAATTTTGTACTGCCTGAAATATCCAAATGACCCTAGGCAGGAAAAGTTCCTAACACCTGCAACAATATAGTATAACAACCATCTACAAGGCACTTTTACTGAAAATAATAACTCAGAAACTCATGGAAATGGAATAATATATTTATTTCGGTAGACAAATTTTTAAATCCTTGGATTTTTCATACTATACATTTGCATGAACTTAGGAAGACCCCTATATTAGGTATTATAAGTTATCTAGAAATGACTTAAAGTATATGGGAGGACATGTGGGGTTAAAAGCAAGTACCTCACCATTTTATGTAAAAGATTTTGGTATCCAGGATGTGGGAACTGTCCTGCCATCAACCTCCCATGGATAGTGAGTTATGACTGCTTATACACTATTTTAAATGGCTTTTTTGTGGTAATGTAACATAAAATTTACTATTTTAGAGATGTCAGTGGCATTTACTACTTTGACCCTGTTGTAAAGCCATCACCATTGTCCATCTCTGTAAGTTTTTCATCATCCCAAACTGAAACTCTACCCTTTAAAAAAACAAACAAAATCCCTTCCCTTTCTGCTCTCCCTGGTCCCTGACAGCCACTGTTCTTTTGGTCTTCTATGTGACTTGTTTAAATAGAATCATATAATTGTTCTTTTGTATTTCATTTACCATGTTTTATAAACCTACATTGTAGCTTGTTTTAACACTTCATTTCTTTTAAGTTGAACACTACTCCTTTGCATGTAAATATCATACTCTGTTTATCCATTCATCCATCAACAGATACTTGGATTATATCCACCTTTGGCTATCCTCAGTAATGCTGCTATGAACACTGGTATAGAAATACCTATTCATCTCTGCTTTCAATTCTTTAGAGTATCTGCCTACAAGTGGAATACCATATGGTAACTGCATGTTTATTTATTTTTTGAGGAACTTCCGTGTTGTTTTGAGCAACTGCTATATCATTTTTATAATACCACTAGAAATGCACAAAGATTCTAATTTCTCCATATCCTTGAAAATACTTGTGTTCTTTTTTGATGATAGTTGGAAATGAAGTGTTATTGATTTGTATTTCTTTAATTAATGAAACTGAGCATCGTCTGAAGTGCTTGTTGGCTTTTTGCATATCTTTTTTGTTAAATATCTATTCAAATTCTTTGCCTGCTTTTTAATGGGTTATATAGTTCTCTGTTGAGTTGTTCTTAGTATATTCTGGACATAAGATCCTTACCAGAAATATGAGTTGTGAATACTTTATTTCATTCTGTTGCTTATCTTTTTTTACTGTGTCCTTTGTTACAGAAAAGTTTTAAATCTTGATGAAGTTCAATGTATGTGCTTCTGGTGTTGTGTTTCGGCTGCTCCTCTCCCGATCCAGCTCTGTGCTATGGCCTAGGAAAGCAGTAGATGGCCCAAGTCCTTGGACCCCTGCACCCATGTGGGAGACCCGGAAGAAGTTTCTGGCTCCTGGCTCTGGATCAGCGCAGCTCCGGCCATTGCAGCCATCTGGGGAGTGAACCAGCAAATGGAAAACTCTTCTGGCTGTCTCTACCTCTCTCTGTAACTCTTTCAAATACATAAAGTCTTAAAAAAAAAAAAAGGCAGTGAAATACACTGTCACATGAAACTAAATATAACTCTGATGAGTAAGACAGAAAAGAAATCATAAGTTGACATATTTAAAGTATATTACTTGTCTACATTTATCTTTTCAAGATTTCTCTGTTGTTAGGTACTTCTGTAACTGATTTGCAAAATTTGGTATAATTTTTTTGAATTTTTAAAAGCTAATATAAAAGGCATAAAAGGCATTTAATGAGGATTCATTATAAACATACAATAACATATATTTGATGGGTTGTATTTTTTCTTAGAAAATGGTCTAAAATGGTTCTAGCTTCACCATGTTTTATAAATACAAAGTTGGATATTCCTTTGTGTTGTATTTGTCAAAATGAGTCAAAAGTTAAGAATCTATTTATTTTACAAATGTCAGATTATATGCATTCAGAATATGAAATCCCCTGTGTAAGACCAACACAAAAACATGTTTTGTTGAAGTACTTGTTAATTTGGCTCCAAAATATTTTTATTTTTCTAATATACAGCACTTATTTGCCCTTCACCTCTAGTATTTCCCAAAGAATTATCATAAAAGGAAAAGAAATAACCTCTCCCATTCATCCTGTTATTATTACTTTATAATTGGGATCAGAAAATTTTTTTCTATTAAGGACCAGATAGTAAATATTTCAGTGTTTGCAGGCCATACAAGCCCTCCTGCATCTGCTCAACTCCGGCAATGTATAAAAGTGGCATAGAGAACAGCTCATGAATGGGTATGGCTACATTTGACCCATGATTGTCGTTTTGCTATCTTTGTTTTTGTGCACCAAAGCTAAACTTTCTCATATAAGATAACCAAAAGATAAATAATAACTTAAGGCCCTAGGAGAGGGCATTTGGTCTTGTAGTTAAGATACTCATGTTCCACATCAGAGTACCTGGGTTTTAGTTTCAGCTCCAGCTCCTGATTCCAATGTCCTGCTAACGTAGACCACAGGAGGCAGTGGTGAAGGCTCAGGTAATTGGGTTGCTGCCACCTGATATGGGAGACCTGGACTGGATTCTCAGCTCTCAGTTTCAGCCCTGGCTCAGCCCCAGCCACTGTTGAAATCTGGGGAATGAATCAGTGCATGGAAGCTGTCTCTTTTTCTTTTCCTGTCTCTGTATCTCCCTGTCTCCCTCTCTCTGCCTTTCAAATAAATTAATTAAATTAAAAAATAATTTAGGGCCTAAAAGAAATCTACCGAATATTTTTCTTTTACTCTCCTCTAGGAGTAAGCACTGTGTTGTCTGGAAAGTATATTCTACTTCAAATATATCTACACAGTTCGATTTTTTTCTTACCCTGAGATATTTATTAAGAAAGGGTAATCTGGAATCCAATGCATGGAGTATCTTTGGGAACAATGTAAGTAGTAAGTGATAGTACTTCCAGCATTAGAAGAACCTCAGCTCCCAGGTAATAACTGCTGGGTAATAAGCAAGTGCCTGCACCATGCCTTCAACACTGAATGTTAAAGGGCAATAAGGTCTCCCTGGCAGTGATTGCAGCAATTGAAAGTTATATTTTCATATCTGGTATAGGGATGATATCTTCCAATATTTTTCTTTGTGGCAAGTAAGGTTGTTGGTGAAGACTCAGCAAATGGATTATCAGGAGTGCTTTCTGTACAGGTAACTGGATCCAAAATGTGTAGAACCTAAGAAAAACAAAAGGTAAGGTTTGATGAATACAGTATCAACTACATAAGCCCTTAGTTTAACTGATGGATAATTACCTATAGAGTTCCATTTCATGAATATGTAATCACCAGAAGAGTAACGTCTGCATGATGAGAGGACATACTCCTTTTCTCTAAAAGCTCTGAACTTAGTAATGATGCCCAGTTATTATATTACCTAGGTTAACCATATTTTTTTAATCAAAACATTAATGTTCTTTTGTGGATAACAGTGGAACAAAATAAAACACAGAAGAATCTAGGGATGAAACTATTGTACTTGGGGCTGGTGGGTTTAAACTGCTGTGTGCACTACCAGTATTCCACATGTGCGCCAGTCAGGTCCCAGATGTTCCACTTCCAATGCAGCTCCCTGCTAATCACCTGGGAAAGCAATGGGAGATGGCCCAGTACTTGGGCCCCTGTACATATGTGGGAGACAAGGAAGAAGCTCCTGGCTCATGGTTTAAGCCTGGCACAGCCCTGGCCAATGTGGCCATTTGAGGAGTGAGTCAGCAGATGGAAGATCTCTGCCGCTCCCTCTCTCTATGTAACTCTGATGTTCAAATAAATAAATAAATCTTTTAAAAAAATTGTACTTAAAGCAATGCAAATTTTTATCCTTAACCAAACAGTACCCTTGCCTCCCTTTTAAAATCTTTCACTCAACTGCTTGGAATCAGGAATCTACCTTCTTCTACTGAAATGCTATTTCAAGATAGTTGATCACTTTTATTTGTCAAATCAATGTTTGTTTTTTTTTTTCTACTCTATACAAAACACTTTATACTAATAATAATGTTATTGTTTCTTAGGTTCTACAATATCATGTCCTCTCAATTCTTCTGCTCTCATTTTTCCTATTCTGAGAAACATAACTGAGGAACACCATTGAGTTAAAAATAATTCTCCATATCGCTTCTCGGCCTTTTGGCTAAGATCAAGTGTAAAAATAATTCTCTGATAAAAGTCATAGGATAACATGTATGGTGCACCAGCGCCCAATCATCACCTGATGAGCATGGGCACAATGCAAAGGAAGTAGACACTGTAACTGAAAATAAACTGTCAGAAGAACAAGAAAAAAGATTTCTGTTCGTTCTTATATAAGGCTTACTTAGAAGAATTTTCCATAGACACCCATTTCCCTAGCTCTTGTGTTGTCAAGCAGATTTTCTTTTATGTAACCACCATACTCAAAAAGTCACAGCTACTTAGAGAATGTTCTGACATCATTTAAAAGCCATCAGTCTATCAGTTCTCCATTTGTTAAACAGACTGCTTTTTCAATTTAATTTCTACTTTTTGAAATCTTTCATTTTTTTTTCAATAAAACTGCTTGTGTATGAGAGGACAAATATGAAGAACTTACTTTTAACACTGCTTATAAATGTGGAAGAGAAAATAAGTTTCTAAATACTTTTTAGAGAGAATCTAAATTCTGAGGGATATCAACAAAAGAGGAATGAGGTATCAGTATGGATATAAAATCTTCTGTGTTGTCATCTGAAGGTGAGGGGGGATTGGTTTTTATGCGGGGGTGACTTTCAGAGAGATCATTCTACATCTGGTATGGAGGGTAGGGTCAAGGGTAGATGTTAAAGCACACAAGGGAAGAATAGAGAAAGGGAGTAATTGTAATAAGGTAATGATAAAATGATGGCTCCATGTAGCAATGGGGCTGAAAGGATCAGGAGATAATAAGGAAGCAGGGTTGTCAGTTTTGTTACATGAGAGAATGTGGAGGATAAAGGATTGGGAAAAGATGTGGGGATCTGAACCAAGTCCTGAGGATACCCAAAGTTAGATAGTGAAAGTGAAGGGTAGAGAGAAGAGAAAAGTCAGGAAGATGTAGGATTGCATAAACCAATTGGAAAAGAATGTTTCAAGAAGTAGGGAGTGGTTAGGTATATCAAATGCTACTTGCAGCAACTGAGTAAGCAGTGGTACAACTTTCTAACAAAGAGAATAAAGTAAAATAATGTAGGAGGAGAAACAAAATTTGGATAAAGACAAGTTAGTTTTAGTTTTTCATTCACTAAATAGCTGAGCACCTATTATGTGTAAAAGGAGTGTGTGAGATCTTGAGGAATCAAAAATACACATTTTACCCAGCCCTTGACTGGTTTACAGTTTAGTGGAAAGATGAAGAAAATTGTGCCGGCGCCGCGGCTCAATAGGCTAATCTTCCACCTAGCGGCGCCGGCACATCGGGTTCTAGTCCTGGTCAGGGCGCCGGATTCTTTCCCGGTTGCCCCTCTTCCAGGCCAGCTCTCTGCTGTGGCCTGGGAAGGCAGTGGAGGATGGCCCAAGTGCTTGGGCCCTGCACCTGCATGGGAGACCAGGAGAAGCACCTGGCTCCTGCCTTCGGATCAGCTAAAGATCTCTGGTAGATCTATGTACAAAGTGTAATGGAAGCCTGCAGAGAACATCCAGATTTACCAATGAGACTTAGTGAAGGTTGATTCCTAAAGTAGGCACAGAGGCTGCACAGCAGGACAAGTACCAGGAGGGCAGTTGAGGCAGAGGGAAAGTCTACACACAGCCATGGGATACACTAGTTTATGTGTAGAGTGAAAAGTGGTCAAGGCTTTGGAACAGCAAGTACGGATACTTGAAAAATGAGCTTGAGAAGGAGAGATGGAAAAAATAGGAGAAAAAGCCTTCAATTCTATAAGAGTTCAGATTCAATAATGACAGAGACTGGAGCTCTATGATGACTGCTGGCTTTCTGAACTAACTCCCTGGCAGTAGGAAAGTGGATGGTCTAGAGGCAGGTAAGAAGCAAGCCAGGGATACTGGTCAGGGAACTGCTGCAATAGTCTAAGGCAGTAGTTAGGTGTTTGAACTTGGGGCTAAATTAAAAGAATCAATAAGATTTACAAAATCAACAAGATTAGGGGGATAGAAACAAAAATGACAGCTACCATCTATTGAGAAACCACTATATACTGGAAACAGCTGGAGTTTTATATGCATTATTTATGGAATCCAAACATCATAAATGATAGGTTCACTAAGACAGCTATGGAAAATAAGCAGATGGAAACGTCTAGTCTCAAATGTTGAGGAAGAATGGTCATAGGAGCAACAAAGAGCTGGGAGAGTATGATGTTTCAGATACTTAGGATGTTTGAAAAGGGAAGGGCATAGATTCTTATAGAACACCAACATTCACAGGAAAGTCCAAGATGAATGCTTGGTAGTTCAATCTTGAAGTTTTCAATGGAAGCTAACTTGGTTGTCATTATAGAACTGTGAGACCACAGTATTGGATAGCAAACCTGCATGGTCCCTGACTTCACCCAAGACTATACATACCAGTATACACTGTTAGATTCTGTAGTATTCAGTACATTCTCATCTATATCATTTCTGTTTTTTAAAAGATTTATTTACTTATTTGAAAGGCAGAGTTACAAAGAAGCAGAGCAAAGCACTTCTTAGATCAGAAATTAATTTACTAAATTAAAAATTGTACACTGGCTTTTATGGCAAAATAAGCTCAAGAAAATGACTGCCAATGACTCAGTAGATAAATATAGGATCTCTTTCAAAACAATCACAATTTTTTCCCCTTAATAATAGAGCAGTAAGGGCTGGCACTGTGGCCTTGTAGGTTAAGCCTCTACCTGTGGCACTGGCTACTCCACTTCCAATCCAGCTCCCTGTTAATGGCCTGGGAAAGCAGCAGAAGATGGCCCAAATGCTTGGGTCCCTGCACCTGTGTGGAAACCTGTAAGAACCTCCTGGCTCCTGGCTTTGGATCAGCCTAGCTCCAGCCATTGTGGCCATTTGGGAAGTGAACCAGCAGATGGAATACCTTTCTCTGTCTCTCCATTTCTCTATAACTCTGCCTCTCCAATAAATAAATAAATCTTAACAACAACAACAAAAGAATAGAGCAGTAATTTAGAGAAGATTAAACCTCAGAAGAGGCAAGAATTTTCTCCAAGATCACAAGCTCATTAACATGATAATCAGGTTTAAGCTCCCATATTTCCTAACTCTCAATGCCAAACTCTTTCCATTATAACTTATCACCCTTCAGGAAGAGTCAGTCTGAGAAGTAACACAGATCATGAAAAAGAAGATATTTTACCTTTTCAGCCATTTTCTCAGCAGGGGTGCTGCAAAATTCAACTGAGGATAGAATCTTTTTTTGACTGCTCATGCCAACATTTCCCAGAAGATGAGTATTTACCGCCTTTGCCAAACTGTGATTTGTTGATGCTAGTTCTGCTGTGTTGTAGGGGTGCACACCAGGGGAGTAAGTTTGTTCTCTTCCCCACTGCAAGGAGACTAAGAGTTCCTCCAGTAATCTGCACAGAACACACATGAAAACTATGTATTAAAAATAGGACAGAATATAAGAATCAATTACCATAAATAAGAAATATTTCCAAAATTGTATTTTTCTTCATCTTTCTATCTCAGAGTTCAAAAATGAGGAATTTTTATAAAATAAAATATTAGACTACACAAGCACCTGTCATTCTTCAAGGAGGTTATCTAAATATTATTCAATAAATAGTACTCTATTTAAACTTTTCATATGTAATATAGGATCTAATTTGATTTGTGCATTGACTGAGATATTCATATGAATATTTTTTTTCTTTTTTGATAATTTACATTAAGTAAATTTTGAATGCTAAAACAACCTACAATTCCTGGGAGTAAACCCACTTGGTCACTATGTATAGATCCTTTCCACTGTTAGATCTGATCCACTAAAATTATGTTAAGGATTTTTGTATATGTGTTCATTAGAGGTACTGGTCTATAGGTTTTTTTTTTAATGCTTTTTTAATTTATATAAAGTCAACAAATTTCATGTCATTCATATATACAGATTTAGGGATATAGTGATACTTCCCAGTCTACCCTCCTTCCTATCTTATTCCCACTCTAAATTTTTACAATAATCTACTTTCAGTTTACTTTATACCCATAAGACTAACCCTACACTAAGTAAAGAATTCAACAAATAGAAAAAAAAAAAAAAAACACTGTTCCTCAACAGTAGAAACAAGGGCTATAAACAATAATCAAATCTCAAGATGTCAATTTCTCTCATATATATTACTTTTTTTGTACTCTATTAGTTATCACAGTTCAGGGAAATCATATATTTGTCTTTTAGGAGTGACTTATTTACTAAGCACAATGATTTCTAGTTGCTTTCATTTTGTTACAAGACAGGATTTCATTCTTTTTTATGGTTGAGTAGTTTTCCATAGTGTATATATATCACATTTTCTTTATCCAATCTTCAGTTGACAGGCATTTGGGGATTCCATATCTTAGCTACTATGAATTAAGCTGCAATAAACTTGGGGGTACAGATGACTTTCATATGCTGATTTCATTTTACCTTGGAAAATACCCAGGAGTGAGACGGCTCGGTCATACAGTATTTTCAGATTTCTGAGGAATCTCCATACTGTCAACTTTCTGATTTTAGCATCAAAATAATACTAGCCTGGTGAAATGAATGAGATATTTTTCTCTTATCTATTTTTCTGGAATAATTTGTGTAAACTGGCTTTACTTCTTACTCAGATCTTTGTTTGTATGCTATAGCAGTGAATCCAACTAGGCTATATCCAGGATTTCATATATTGGAAGGTTTTACACTACAAATTCAATGGCTTTAGTATGTTAGGGCGATTAAAATTATCCATCCTTGAAAAACCTTTGAAGTTTGCCTTTGAAGAAGTTTGTCCATTTCATCCTAATTATTGTAGTATACATAAAAATAGTCTGTAGTGAATATCCTATCCCATTTTGATACTTTAATGTCTCTCATTCTCTCTTTTTTCTGATTAGAATGGCTGTAGGTTTCTTATCTTTTCAAAGAACTTGCTTTCGGCTTTAAATATATTTTTTTCTGTCATCATTTTCTTCCTTCTGTTTACTTCATGTCCAGTGTGTTTCGGTGTTGTTAATTAGGGTGATTAAATTATAATGAGGACTTTCTTCCAAAAATAACAGTTAAAGATACAAATTTTCCTCTTAAATACTATGTTTGCTTCTCACAAGTTTTGATATTTTGATGTATCTTATTAAACTCCTGTAATTTCCTGTATCATTTACTGTTTGACTCTTACTGATTTTATTTGTAATATATTAATCACATAAAAGCACAACAAGCTTTTATAGGAGACTACACATTTTGATAACTCTGAACTACACTGACATGAAAACCAAGCTCTAGCACAGTGTAAGTCTTCAGAAAGATCTTCCACAGGAAAGACACGCTTCTGTCATACACTATACAAAACTACTACAACTGTAACTCTTTTAGATCCAGAACTTTCTCCTATTAGAGATGTAACTAATTCTCTCAAATAAAAGTCTGAGAAGCAGCTCCCCTTCTAGTCTTCTCATTCTTCTTCCTAGAGCATCTGGTTTAAGTTGATAGTCAAAGTATGTGTTTAGTAAGTTATCAAGTGTAGACATACTTAAAAAATAAAATTATCACAAGAACAAGAATTATAGGAGAAAACAGAAGAGTTCAGAACGGAAACAAGCGGCATACTTTTGTGTAGCTGTCATTTCTTGACGGAACTGTTCCCGTTCACTCAGGAGATCTTGGATAGCACTTTGTGCCTCACGGTTTTGACGCTGTAAAATGGCTCTGGAGTTGGTTAACTCATCCGCCATCACCCTGGAAAAGATTAAACTCTTACACAGAAATTCTCTGACAATAACACGGTGTAAGCAGTCAATAAACTACTTTGCAATGATCATTTTCAAAAGCTGACAAAGATGATTTAACATAGTCAAATTACTTCTCAGTTTAAAAAATTGTACTAAAAACATTTAAAATATAAGTTTAAGTCTCACTAAAGGAATCCAGCTAACATATGCAGTTAAAAATGAGAAAGAAAACAGTTATTTTTCTTTTTTTTTGGACAGGTAGAGTGGATAGTGAGAGAGAGAGAGACAGAGAAAGGTCTTCCTTTTGCCGTTGGTTCACCCTCCAATGGCCGTCACGGCTGGCGCGCTGCAGCCGGCGCACTGCACTGATCTGAAGCCAGGAGCCAGGTGCTTGTCCTGGTCTCCCATGGGGTGCAGGGCCCAAGCACTTGGGCCATCCTCCACTGCACTCCCGGGCCCCAGCAGACAGCTGGCCTGGAAGAGGGGCAACCGGGACAGAATCCGGAGCCCCGACCGGGACTAGAACCCGGTGTGCCGGCGCCGCTAGGTGGAGGATTAGCCTATTGAGCCGCGGCGCCGGCCAAACTTTTTTACATAATAACATTTGGAATTCCCTCAAATCTGCAAATTGAGATTTTAAAAAATTATGAAATATAAAATATAAAGAAAAAATAAAAATCAGTTTGTTTTCTTATCATTTATTTGCTCTTAGAAAAATATTAATATAAAAAGGTTTCTATAAAAGAAAAACTAAGTCCTTCTTCACGCCTAGCATGCTTACCCTTCTTTTATACTTAACTAATCAAGTATCTTACATATTTTTCCAGAAAAAATACTTTATGTATAATTCAACATAAAACATCCAATTTATTTACAAAAAAGAAATTACAAAAGGCCTGGTGCTGTGGCATAGCAAATTAATACCTTCTGTGATATTGGCATCCCATGAGTGCCAGTTCATGTCCTGGCTGCTCCACTTCAGATTAAGGCCCTGCTAATATGCCTGGGAAAGCAACAAAATATGGCCCAATTGCTTGGGACCTGCACCCACGTGGGAGACCTGGAAGAAGCTACCGGTTCCTGACTTAAGCTGGCTCAGTACCGGTCACTGTGGTCATTTGGGGAGTGAATCAGCGAATGGAAGATCTTTCTGTCTGCCCCATGTACTCCCTGCCATTAACTCTGCTTTGCAGGTGTGTAAATAAATCTTTATTAAAAAAAAAAAAAGGAATTATCCAATACAAACTTTTCTACACCATGCTTTTTGCAGTTAATCTTTATTTTGGAGACTTTCCCTGTATTAGAACTACCTCACTACCGTTTTTTTTTTTTTTTTAAACAATAGCTCCATGTTTTCTTCTGATCAGATATACTACATTTTATCTAACCAGCTCTCTACTGATGGAATTGAAACAACACTTTGAAGAATGGTTATTGCTGAAAATCTTAACACTAAAATTAAAGTCTTAGACCACAGTTACTGCTAAATTCCTTAAAATGAACACAAGTTGGAAATTAGAAGATCTTGTCGCATTGGTCAGAATGTTAAAACAAAGTTACATATTGCAATAATCTGAATCATATATGCAAGATTTACCCCCCTTAAACTGTTGAAAAAGAATTAACTTTCATTCTAAGTCATTAAATGGTAGTTCACTTCTTCAAAAAGCATACTCTACTAGCCCAGTTAGCAAACAAAGCCTTTCAGAGAGTAATCAATTACTAGAAAGTATCACATATATTAAAACATGAAGAAATCCTTTCCTAAAAATTTATTCATCAGCATCAATGGTTTTTAAAGTACAGCATGGAAACCTCTGGTGTTCTGTGAGAAATATCCAGATAGTTCAATATTAAATGTTAATAAACTCATTTATGTGACGTCTTTTGCTATACATGGATGGGTAAAATCCATTTCCTACATTCCAGTGACTCAAAGTTGTTGAGGGCATAGGGTAGTAAATAGACAAAAGAATCTTAAGGTATAGCAGAGTTTCCACCACCAGTTTGTCTAGCTGTCTGGACTAGTACCCAGTACTTTTCACGTGTGTTGGAGAGTACTCTCATTTGGTATGATATAAAAATGTATAATTTTCTATATGTAGACAGAGAAAAAGGTGGAGAAGCTCCAATACACAATTAAAAGTTCTCAGACCACAGCATGGAGGGAGTAAGAATGATATCTCACTACTCCAAACAGGTGGAGAAAAGCAATTCAGTGGAGCTTTTTGTGATTTTAGAATTTACCAGACTTCTGAGTTTACAGTTTTCTTTTGGTATTAAATATGAGGGAGGATCCTTATATCATTTCTCCATTTAGGGAGACTGAACTTCCAGAGTGGGGAAAGAGTCCTCATTTTAAATAATGCTTAAATTACTTTGATAATTTATTTAGAAATTTTCCACACAATGTGTCAAAGATGTGATAGCAAAAACTAGGAAATGAAGTATTATTTTTAATACAATATACCTGCTTGCGAGGAATTTGCTTCGCCACACATCACACTGTATTGACATACGTTCTAGCTGCTCAGACAGCTGAGCTGTGTTTCGACCTAGGGCTTCATTTTCTAAAATAAGCTGATTTTTCTCACGGGCTAGACGTTCAAAGTGATACTGAAGATCATCCCCAACAGAAGCTACCAGCAACTTTTTTAACTCACGATTTACCTAGAAGAAAACATAGCCATACAAACTCAAAGTAATGGCAATGATATTAATGCAAAAAATTCATAAAAGAGAAACTGTTTCTGTGTAGTTTGTAATCCATTACTTAAATTATATGTCAAAACTAGTAATAAATAGTTAAGTTTCATAAAAAATCCAAACATGTCAATATATATACATATATATACACACTTTATGTATATATATATATATACACACACATACTTATATATATGATACAGTCCATGTGCTATAAACTGAGCCCCTTACAATACCAACCATTATGAAAATAACAAAGTGCTTCCAGTGGACACCCTTCACCAAAATAAGAAAACTAAAACTGCGTGCTGCTAAAAACACATGACAGAATGTTTTATGTATCTTATTATTTAACACTTCTAAATTAATCTTTGGCATTTTATTTTGAAAGAATTTGAGCCAAGGAAGTAACCCAGAATACCTATAAATATATTCTTTACATTGTTACTGAAAATAGCAAAAGATTAAAACGAATGTCTAGTAACAGGTGCTGGTATATAATACAGCCATTGTATAACACTAGTGCTATTAGTAGTGAAATTTAAATGGAATATTTTGATGTGGGAAAACATTACTAACTGAAAAATGAGTTAAAAGACAAGATGAAAGTATGTATGATTATATTTAGACAGCATGATTATGAGTGGCACCATTTTCATTGTGTTTTTTTATTTGTGCATGTTTCTAAAATATTTACAAATAAATATGTACTATTTTTAAAAAAAGCTTTATTTGGGTGAGGTCATCGCCTGCAGTGCCCACATCCCACATGGGCACCGGTTCGAGTCCTGGCTGCTCCACTTCCAATCCTTCCTTCTGCTATGGCCTGGGAAAAGCAGTAGACAATGGCCCATGTCCTTGGGTCCTTGCACCCTAGTGGGAGACCCAGAGGAAGCTCCTGGCTTTAGATCAGCCCAGCTCTGGCTGTTGATGCCATTTGGGGAGTGAACCAGTAGATGGAAGACCTCTCTCTCTGACTCTGCCTCTCTGTAACTCTTCTGCTTTTCAAATAAATAAATAATTAAAAAAAAAAACTATTTATTTGAAAGTCAAGAGTTAGAGAGAGAGAGAGAGAGAGAGAGGAAAAGACAGAAACAGATAGAAAAAAAGATATCCTCTTCCTGTTGGTTTTACCTCTCAAATGCTGCAATGGACAGCCAGAGCTGAGCCTGGTTGAAGCCAGGAGTCAGAAACTTCATCTGCGTCTCTGACATGGGTGGCATCTTCTGCTGCCTTCCCAGGCACATTAATAGGGAGCAACCGGGACTTGAACCTACACTTGTAAGGTAAGCCAGCATCCCAGGTGGCAGCTTAATCCACTGTACCACAATCCTGGCCCCAATATGTATTATTTTTATAATTATAAAGTATTTAATTTAAAATATATTAACAAAGGACTGGGAGCAAGTTGATGGCTGACAAGAGGTGCTCCAGTGAACATCTCAGAGACACCAACTTGAACATCCTTGCATGTACAAATTACCTTCACAAGAGCTAAGGGAGCAGGTGAGACTACAGTGACTAGTTTTAGTGTAATAAGACAATTTCCTCCCCCAACTCCAAAGAGCACAACATAGATATTCCTCCTGTTTGGGGGAAGAACAGGAATTAAACCCAGACCTTAGCCTTGAAATCCAAGACCAGGCCTGCCATAATGTTGGACAGGGTCCTGCACCCACTGTCCCCAAGCACATAAATGAAAACTGAGTTTCTGGACCCTCCTTAGCCAGATGATGAAGAGCCTGCCTCCATTCCACTGCCCTCAACCTTGGTCAGACAGTGAGAAGCAATACTGCAGCTGCTGGGGAGGGTGGGAAAGTGAGCGCAGCAGTGTCTTGGAACTCAGTGCTGGTCTGGTAAAACTTAACACGGGGCAGACCTAATGGTCCCTGTTTCTAAGTGAGTGCAAAATGGATGGGGCCTCTGCACCACCCCAGTGCCAGGTGGCACTGTGGCCCTGGTAGATCAGACTTATGTCTCTGCCAGCATCATCTGTAGCAAGTTGCAGGGGGTCCCGGACTGTGAATACACCTCTCCAGCATGAGTGTGGTCTTATTCCATTACACCAATTTTGGCAGATTGTGGTATCTTCATATGAGCTAGCATTGGTGGCCATAGGCATGCCCACCCCCTTCCTATCCCAACCCCGGGCAACATGCATGGACAGAGTTGTTATCTGCTTGGGAAGTGAAAAGGGAATTCTGGGCAGGTCTGTCCACAGTAGGGCCCTGACCTGGGCAGAATCCTGCAGTGCCTGACCACAGGGTAGTGATGATAGATAAGACATTTGGGCTTACTTCAGTTCCAGGTTAGAGGCTTGAGAAGGCAGACTACTCTAGAACATTCCAAATAATATATGAATAGCAGATTTGACAAAAGCATGGATTTAGGGTGCCATCCAGTGCTGAAATAGTGGAAGTGCCCACAGGTTCAGAGAAAATAAGCAGAATCTTATTTAGAATAAGAGGAAGGGCAGGCCCAAACAAAGCCAGATAATGACTGGAATAAATACCTAATCCTCCAATGCACAGAAAATGTATGATAATAGGCATCAAGAGCTTTCAGAGGGGTCAGTGTTGTGGCATAGCAGGCAAAAGCCACCACCTGTGATGCCCAGCATCCCACATGGGCACAGGTTAGAGTCCTGGCTGCTCTATTTCCCATTCAGCTCCCTGCTAATGGCCTGGGAAAAGTAGTGGAAGATGCCCCACATGTATGGACCCTGCTACTCATGTGGGAAGAAGCCAGCTTAGCCTTGACCACTGCAGCCATCTAGGGAGTGAACAAGTGAATGAAAGATCTCTCTCTCTGTCTCTCCCTCCCTCTCTGTAACTTTGATTTCAAATGAATAAATTTTTTTTAAAGGAGCTTTCAACTAATAAACAAAAGGTTGGAATGTGGGCGGCAGGGAAGGTAGGGTGCGGGAGGTATAAGTATATTCCTAAATCTTACATTAGTACCATCTTACATTAGCCATCGTGTAAAACAGTATGGGGATTCCTTTAAAAGTTAAAAATAGAATTACTAGAAGATTCAACAATCATACTACTGGGTACACACCCAAAGGAAATGAGACCAGCCTGCTGAAAAAACATCTGTACTCATGTTTATTGCAGCACTATTCAAAACAAGCAAGAAATGGAAACAACCTTGGTGTTTATCAGCTGATGAATGGATAAAGGAAATGTGGTACATATATAACATGGGACACTACTCAGCCAAAAAAGAGTTGATATTCTGTCATTTGCAACAATATGGATGGAATTAGAGGTCATTATGTTAAGTGAAAAATAAGCCAGGAACAGAAAGACAGGCACTGCATGATTTCACTCAAACATGGAATCTAAAAAAGCTTATCTCATCAAAGTTGAGAATACACTGGTGGTTACCAGAGGCTATGAAGTGTAAAGGGGTAAAAGGATGGAGAAAGGACAATTAGCAGGTACTAAGTAATAGATGGGAGAAAGAAGTTCTGGGTTTCTATCATACAATAGAGTAATTATAGATAATAACAATGTACTGTGTGTATTGTTCTTTAAAGCTAGAAGAAGGCATTTTGAATGTTTTCACTATTAAGAAATGACAGGTGTTTGAAGAAATAGGTACATTTAACCCTGATTTGACATATAACAATGTATATATGTATTAAAGCATCATATAATATCTAATAAATATGTAGAATTTTAATGTGTCAATTACAAATTTTAAAGATTAAAATACATTAAAATATATGCTATAAGAACCATTAATCTTGGTATCACAAAGACTAGTATCTATCAAAAAGATGTACAGTCTAATAGAGAAGGTGTGGTGGTAAGGTTAGTTTCATCAAGACAAAGATTAACATAACATAGCACTACAGAATGCTTTTAATTTACAATGAATATACAATCACACATCATCATTCTCTTTATTCCAAGTATCATGTAGTAAAAAAATACTTGGACTTCATGGATCCTTAAAACAGGGACTACTATGTAGTCAATTTCAAAGCCTAGCCTGGCCGATCTCTGGTCTGGCAGAATATAAGTATAACCTACTTTCACAACTTATTGGGGGTTTTGTCCAAAGTTATTACACCACCATCTTCAACCAGGTTTACAGGATAAATTCTCAGCAGAAAGTCTCCCTAATTGTCCTGAGAGACAATATATTTAAGAGGACACATTTCAGAAAAACAACATGCTATGGTGAATGACATTCCTATGAAGAGATGCAGTATTCTAGCACGCAGGCTTAAATGATCCAGGTATAATGAGTAGTGCTCATTAAGCTATTAAGGCTGTTCTTACCTCTGTCTGTACCCGGAGCTGGTTTGAAAGACCTTCTTTGTCCTGCAGTAACCTCTTTTCAGAGTTCTTGAGCTTTTCCAACATATTCTTTACTTCTGCAAGTTCATTCCTAGGTTCTACGACTGTCTCTAACTGACTAAGGAGTTCTCCTTTTTGATGTCCCAGAGACTTAACTTTTGCAGTTTTGTTCGGGATATCATGAGTGATAGCAGCTTTGGGAACTATTATTCTTACAGCTTCAATTTCTACAGCTTTTTCTGTGACAATCTTTCCTAGTTGAAGAACTCCTGGGCTCTCTGATGGAACTACTTTCTTCCGTGGATTCTGAAGAATGTGATGCTTTATGGATTGTACTCCAGAGGTGACTTCAACTGATTTAGGTGGCTCCTCAGTTTCCATTCCATCTCCTGCTCCTCGGATTGGGGTTGAAGTAAGGGTCACTAACAAAGGGGAAACAAAACATGAATGTTTGCCAAAAAGAAATACCAAGAAAATCCCAAGATATACTTTACCCTCTATTCAGAATGACTGGCATTAAAAAGGATGGAAAAATTCAGGGTAAAAAGTACTTTTCAAAATCATGCATCAGAAAAAATTAAGTTTTGCAGGTTCACTTTCCTAATTTACATGGCTTCTTTTGGTGGAAAACGTACAAGATTTGAAAGCAAAGTATTTGGTTCTTATTTCTTTCTAACATGACTGGAGGTAACTAACTAAATTCTCTGTGAATTTCTGTATCCTAATCTGTAAAACAAAGATGACAACAACTGTGCTACCGGGTTGTAGTAAGAAAGATCAAGAGCCTGACACACTGTGGGCATGCAATAATGTCAGTGAAAAATTAAAAAGGGTGCAGATATTTGGCATACTGGATGGGATGCTGCTTGGAACATCCCATGTCAGAATGCCTGGGGTCATGTCCCCTACTCCTCCTGCTAATGTGCAATCTGGGAGGTAGCAGGTGATGGCTCAAGTGGTTGGGCCCCTTGATGTGGGAGACTCAATTTGGATTCTCAGCTCACGGCCTCAACCAGGCTCAGGCCCTGGGTGTTAATGGTCATTTGAGGAGTGAGCTAGCAGACAGGAGATGTTTATGTGTCTGTTTTTCACTCTCCCTCTTTGCCTTTCAAATAAAATTTAAAAATCATGTAGGTGTGTGTGTATGTGTATGAAACCATCCATATAACTTAAAACAGACTCATCTGTTCTTGAACTCATGGCAAAGAATACATTACACATGGGTAAAGAAAAGCATATGTCATACTGGAAAACGGACTAGAGAAATAGTAAATCCTATTTTTAGTCCTAAGGATTTAAGTCATGCTTATACAAGTGAAACAACATTGTGTTGTTAGATTAAACTCTCTTAGAGCTTGCTTTCACCACATCATACTGAAATTATCTTATTGGTATTCCATTTCCACCAGTGACTTTTTAGCTACATTGTAAGCGTTACTCCACATATATCTCATGCATAATTAAAGAATCACACAAGTCAGTAATGATGATTATAATGAAGAACTTTGAATGGTCACGGGCAGCAAACATGATGCTGGGAGACTGATGTAGGCCAGCCATTCTGTGAGGCTCAAAAAATTCACTATCTAATTTAGAAGACAGGGTTTAGATACAAAAAGGTAAGAGGCATTACAGGGTAAAACATACTAAGTGTGCAATAAGGAATACAAAAATATTTAAATAAAAATTTCATTTATATAGAAACTTTAAGGACAATCATGAATTCTGTTTTTAGTGAATACATTTGACATGATATGTTAAAGAAGAAGAAATTATCAATTCCCAACTTGACTCTCACTGGGATTAAACATGACAATAGGTCTGATCTGATTTCATCATCATTTAAAAAATCATCTATTATTTTTCACTTTATGTTTCTGTGTGGGAGCAAACTGTTGAAATCTTTACTTAATGTATGCTAAACTGATCTTCTGTAGATAAAGAGAATCGAAAATGAATCTTGATGTGAATGGAAGGGGAGAGGGAGTGGGAGAGGGGAGGGTTGCGGGTGGGAGGGACGTTATGGGGGGGAAGCCATTGTAATCCATAAGCTGTACTTTGGAAATTTATATTCATTAAATAAAAGTTAAAAAAAAGCTTATATCTATGTGTATATAGATATACATATATAGATATATATATCTATAGGTATATATACATATAGATATGTATGTACATATGCATATATGTATACATACATGTGTGTGTATATATATAATGTAATCTCCTCTAAGACAAAGAAAGACCTGAAACAGAAATCCTAGCTTTTTTTTTTTAAGTCAAAATATATCCTTAGGCTCAGGTCCTGTACATATCACATCCTAGATACATCAAACATCAGCGACATTTTACTGTAAACTCCAGTTAGGAGAACTTAGTTTAGTAAGAAGAATAATGTCTTACCAAAATTAAACAATTCTTAAGAGTCTCTGACGTACAAGGATATATTAAAAGAAGGATCACATAGTTTGTAAATATTCTAAATTGAAGTAGGCTCTGCTGCCACCTTGACACCTCTTGGATTCTGACTCTACAAATGGAATTCTACAGATAAAGTACTGCAGAAAAGGTGAGTCTGCTCAGGGTAATTATAAGAAAATAACTATGAAAAAATTATCTGTCAAGACATTTTTCAGCAAGGAAATGTCTAACAATATTTTCCCGAGAGGTGGGTGTTTGGTGCAGTGGTAAAGTTGTTACTTGGGATGCCTGCATCCCATATTTGAGTATCTGGGAGTCCTGGCTACTTCTCTTTGATCCAGCTACCTACTAATGTGCATTCTGAGAGGCAGCAGAGGACAGCCCCAGTACCTGAGCCCCTGCCATCCGTGTAGGAGACCAGGATAGAGGACTGGGCTCCTGGCTTTGGCTGGCCTCAGCTATGGTTGTTGCAGGCATGTGGGGAGTAAACTAGCAGATGGAAGATCTCTAGTTGTTTGCCTTTCAAATAAAACTTTTAAAAATATAAAAAGGAACATCCTTTCTTAAAAAAAGAGAATATTTTCCTCAGGTTTTTTTATTAGGTTTCTTTTTTTCAATAAAATAATCTTTCTTCCTTTTTCAAACTCTGTTATATAAATACAAAAACTATATCATCTCTGTATACAACCTCACACTCTATGGTTTTTATTACTATTTTTAAAAATACATTATTAAAATATATTAATAAGAAAAAATGTACCTACATTCTCATCACCTTAAAATAACTTCTCTTTTCTTTACCTCTCACTAATATTTTTAGATATTTGTAATTATAAATTCTATAAGCTTATTATATTTTTCTTTTGTCATGCTCTTCATACATCCCTTAAAGTCAATATAGCATTACTTGTGATTTTAATGTTAGATATTTATATTCTTGCCAACATTTCACTAAAATAATGTTTTAATGAATGCTTTCATGTCTACTAATTTTTTCAACTTCTAAATTATTTCTTTTTAATTCCTAAGCACAGAATTAATGCACCCGGGGGAAAATCTATATTGTCACACACCCTTCAAAAATCACTCTACTAGGGTATCAAAAATATATTCCTCATGTCCATGTTTAATTATTTTTTGCATGTCTAATACTTGAGATTTAATACAATGTGTAAAAGTAAACAAGAACACATTTAAAGTGTTTAGAATGGAGTTTGGCACAGTAAGCATTCAAATGATAGGTTCTATTAGTTTTATTTTCATAACTCCTAAAAATCCTAACAAACTTTAGATACTGATAGAAGAAATAAAGTTTATTTAATGTCACAAAATATGATTCTGAGTTTTATTCTTCTGCTAGTCAAAGTTTTATCACTGGACTATGTGACTTTTTAATTAACAAATTTCCCCCCAAATTTTCCCATGTACTAGGAATTCTGAATTATATTAGACAGGAGGTAGAAAGTTATCTGGAGTATAACATGCAATATTTTACGAATGTGTTTTACATTGCAAGTTTTAGCATTAGCATAAAACAGTGTCATCTCTATATGATGTGTAAACTAAAACTTCCCATTGGGCTTTGGGATTGACTCTACTTTCAAAAAAATAAGCAAAGGATTATATCAGAAAGCTAGATAAAGAGTTTGGCATATTAGTTAAAACATGTTGTAGCACATTGGCACTCACATGGTAGAATTTTCACTGAACCATTTTAAAAATAAAGAATAAAGAAAATAAAAATCTGGTTTTAAGTTTATCTTAAAAAATACTTAATTTGTCAATAATATATTCTGGCATTTAAAAAGTAATCATGTATTAACTATAGATTAATAAAAAGGCACAGTAGAGCTATATCACTCAGGCCCATCCTGGTAAAGAAAATTTTTAGGTAAGTCACACCATTTTTGAGTTGGAATTTTAAGTAATGGAGATTCAAGAATGAATCACAAAATTGCTAATGCTAACTTTAAAAAGCAAACAAACATTAATGGGTACTTTAACAGAAATCTCTTTTCAAGCAAAATATGTAATAAAATTCTACTCAAGAAATTCAGTTAACTTTCAACCCCAAATTACCTATTATTACCTACATTATTTAAACTGTTCTACTTAAGGATTTATGAGTACCAGAGTTGTATTGTACATCATACGGCATACCCCACTCACTAAGAACTATGATTCTGGCTGATGTAAATGGGCAAGCAGGCAATGAGAGCCACGGCTTTAAATTTTCTCATCTGGTAACTTGTCTTTCATAATTCCCTTTTTCCTTGTGACACACATGGAAACCTTTATTACATAGGCATTAGGCACAGTCCAGGACACATTCAAGAGTTGTTGCTTTCTCTCAAGTGGGAAGACAAAAGCCCTACTGGGTCAGCTCCATAATTAAGAGTGATGCTTGAGTAAAACAAGAAAACCAATCCTTGTTCTTTTCTACTCTTTGAAGGGAACCAATAAAATAATCTTCAAATTATGCAACAATTTTTTTTGTACCTGGGATCACATACCAAGGAATTAAAACATTATCTAAGTTTTTGGCTTAATCTTACTGCCTTTCCTCATGGATTGGTAAAATGTAGGGAAAGAACAAATAAGGTCCTTAGTCTAACATTCTAGCATAGGGGTTGGCAAATATTTCCTCTAAAGGCCAAGACAGTAAATATTTTAGTGTACACCAGGAGGTAAAATAGAGACTACTTTATAGGTAGTTATAAAAGAGAAAAAATAAATTTTTACTGATGCAATGAAAGGAAAATAACAGCACTAAACAGTAATTTTTGATAATACATGAGTATTTCAAATATTTTGTGGTAAAATTTAATTTAATGAAATATACAAATTTATTTTGGTGCCAAGATTTTCATAGCATCCATACTGTGAAAAAACTATGCATGGATTTCAAAATAAATTCACACTTAAATTTTTTTTTATTTGAAAGGAGTGAGACATAGATAGAGAGAAAGGGAGAGAGAGAGAGCTCAATTTTCCATTTACT